CCGGATGCACCACCAGCGCCGCGCGGCGGTAATGTTTCTTCACCTGCCCAGCGGTCACCAGGTCGGCCATGCCCACGGGTGTCCAGCGGCTCTCACCATCCCACAGCACGGTGTGCAGGGTGGACAGCAGGGCACGGATGTTCCTCTCCTTGCCCTCGGTCCACTCCAGGAGCTACGGGACACACAGGTGCTGCGGAGAGCAGATCGGGGCCTCTGCCCCCTCTGCCCCCTCTGCCCGCCAAGCCGCTGGCCATCCCTCCGATGGCTCCACAAACCACCCACCACACGGAGCAAGGCTCTGACCGTGAGACGCTCGGCCGAGACCCAGACCCGATGCCCCGGGTTCTGTGCTGACCCCACCCAGGCATGGTCGACACCGCTCCCTGGGCCTAGCCACACGCCGCACAGGACAAGACGGCCCCGCAGAGCTGCATCGCGAAGCCGTGTCCAGAGCAGCGAGACTTAATCACCCCAAAACATGTCTAAAACACACCTAAGTGTGAACACAAGCACTGTCTGTCTCTGCAAACACGCTGGGCCGAGACCCTTTCGTGTCCGGGAGTCGGGAGCCTCACGAGGCGGCTGCTGGCTGGCTCAGGGTGAAGGCCAATCACGTCCGCAGGAGCCCCCCCACCCGCAGACTCGGGGCGCCCAGCCCCCCTCACCTTCAGCTTGAGGGGGTCCGCATCCCTCGCCTGCTCCTGCCTCCGCATCTCGGCCATGGTCCTCGGCCCCTTCCTGTCGGCCTTGGAGGAGAAGCCCTGGTCGGACAGCAGGTCCTCAAAGTCACTCTCCGACACTCTCGGCTTCTGACCTACGAGCGAATGGAGGCTTGGCCGACAGACAATGCGCCGGGGGCTCTGCCCATGGGTGCACACTGGGCGAGACCCACCGCTGCCCCAACGCTTCGGAAGAAAAGTTCGTCAGAAACGGGCGGCCTGCCAATCGGCGTACATCCCAGCCTGCAGCCTGCAGAACAGTGTCTAGCTCAACAACCCTTTGGGATCCAAGGACAGCCTCGTCCGTCACCTCCTGGGGTCAACGCGGATGTGCCGTCCCCGTGACAGACACGGCTGTGGGCTCCCGGACAGCGTGGGCCTGGCCGCAGCATTCCCTGCCACCCCGCGGGAGCCCCCGCCAAGCGAACAGACGTGGGCCTCGCTGAGCACTCCTTCCCAGGTCGGGCCAGGAGTGGGAGCAACAGCAGGATGCCGCTTTATGAACCGCTTCACAGGAAACTTGAAAAAGCCACACACCGGAGACCGAGGCAGGACTTACCGAAGCCGGGGGCGCGGACCCCCCTCTCCTCTCGGCTGCCGATCACACTCAGGTTGGCGGCATAGTTAGGCCTTGGCTGTGCACAGGCTTTGGGCGGTGGCTTGGACTGGGGGGGCCGCGGGGTGCCCTGGGCCGGGGGCCGATTTGTCTGCTGCCAGGAGCTGCCACCCGTGGGAGGAGGGGCTGTTTTGGGGCCGAAACCCCCAGGAGCAAATCCAGCAGGTGAGCCTGGGGAGACAGTTCACAGGGGTTGAGTGTCCGAACGCGTGATGGCTGCCGCGTTCTGTGAAGCCACTATGGACGGGGGCACTGCTGTCTCCAGGACTTCACGTCCACAGGGGCTGGGGGACAGCGGGCATGCGCGGGGACAAGCGCAGGCACCGCCTCCCCACTCACCCTCAGAATGCACGGCTGCTTCTTTAACTGCTGATTTTGAAACAGACGCACAGCAAGCCAAACAGCCAGCTCCGGGCCCCCAGGTCCCGGCTGCACCAGCTGCCGCGTGCACACCAGCGTGAGCGTGTGTGCACGCGTGTGTGTGCACGGCGACCACACACACGCGCATGTAAGCACCAGATCACGACATTCACATTCCCCGTCCTAGGGGAAGAATGTTCTAGAGACGGAATCAGAGAGTAAGCTTTGCGGTTGGTGCTTCTCATGCAGGACCTGCTCCTTTTTATTGCTGAGCAGCATTTTGTGGTAAAGACAACGCGGCTTGTTCAATCCCTGACCCCTGGGAGGACCTCAGGGCTGGTTCCAGTTTTGGGCAGTTACAGACAAAGCCGCTATGAACACCGCGTCGCAAGTTTTGCCGTGAGTCTGGGGTAAGTGGTTGCTGCACTTCATTTTGTGGGAACCGCCCAGCTCTGTGGTGGAGCGGCCGAGCCGTCTCGCACCCCCACCGGCACCGGGGGCCACGCTCCTTCCACTGTGGCCACGCCACGCCCTGGGGTGGCCCCCAGCCAGGTGGCCCCCGCGCTGGGCACAGGCACTCGCCTCCCGTGCTCTGAGTGGATGGCTTTTTGCTCACTGCCGTGCTCACGTATCCCAGGCGTCAGTTCCAGGGCAAACGCGGGGCTCAAAAACATGTTCTCTGCATCCACAGCTTGTCTTCCCACCCTTCAGTCTTTAGCGAAGCAAACCGGGATGACGACGTGCATCATCTTCTCCGTTGTGGTTCGTGTGACACGCAAACCACGCCCTGGGCTCCAGAGACCTTCTCCTCCACGCTCTCCTCCCCCAAGTGACATGTCTCATGTTCACACCTCAATCTGGAGCCGATGCTGAGCCGCCCGGTGTGTGAGGCCGAGCTTTGGGCTGCGGTCACTTTTCCGCCTGTGCTGCCCGTCACTCCAGCACCACCGTGGTGGGTTTGCACCTCCATCACAAGCCCGCTGGCGCGTGTGGGCCCACTTGTGGGCGCCTGCTCTGCTCGACTCCCGACACCAGGTGGTGCTGGTTTCAGCACCTACAGCCTAAGCCCAAAGCCGGGGGTGGGGGCGGGCGACTCCCACATTCCTGTTCCATTAGAAAGACTTCAGCCACTCGAAGTGCTCTCGCTTCCCAAATAAACGTTACCACGAGCTTGTCCATGTCTACCGAAACCCTCGCTGGGCTTTCCGGTAGGAACCCTGCTGAACCTACAGACCTGTGAGCACGGTCTGCCCCTCCCTCTGCCGCGGCCTGGGCGGCCCTCACCGGCTCCGCGCCTGCAGCCCCAGCACGCAAGTCCACGCTGCTTACCACCAACAGCCCTCCCTGCACTGTTGGCGGGCGCTGACCACTCCGGCTGGGCCCGTGGGGTGGCAGACCGTCACCTGGCTGTGGGACGGCGAACCAGCCTCGTTCCTGGTTGTGGTGCACGACTCTCTGTGTGCGGACAGTTCTCTAGGCTAGTGTTTTGTTCAGAGTCTGCATCTGTATTTACGAGGGACGTTGCCCTGCAGTTTGTTTTTTTTTGTTTTTGTACAGATTCTGGTTTTGGTATCAGGGTAACGCTAGCTTCCTAAAATCAACTGGAAAACTTTCCCTCCTCTTCCCATATCCTGGAAGACCCTGGGGAATCAGTATGAATTCTTGAAACATTTGGTAAAATTCTCCAATGAAATTCTCCATCTAGGACTGGAGACTCCCTTTTTGGGAGACTTTCGAGAGTGAATTCGTTTTCCTCACAGTTACAAGGATATTCCCACAACAGCCTCTGCGCCAACTGGGTTTGCTGGGGACCAGCTGTGAGGACGCGACCGATGTCAGTGCCCACAGCCCCGCGCGCCCTCGCTGTCCCCGCAGGGACGTCCCCATGTCCTTGTGTGATCGTCCTTTTCAATCTGGCCCAGTAGAGCTTTGTCTGCGGTTTTACTGATTTGTGAGCTTTCCTGGTCTTTTAAAAAAACCAGGTTCTGTTTCATCAGTTTTCTGCTTCACGGATTTTGGTTATTATTTCCTGCCTTCGACTTGCTTTGGGTTTATTTTGCTATCTTTCCAGACACCCTGAGGGAAGGTTCCAGATGCTGACCAGAAGGCTCCGCTGCGGCTGCGAACCCCCAGCTGAGCCGCGTCCACGTTCACCCGGTTCAGGGCGCCATTATCCTTCCTAAATAACCCACTCACTGCTCATCGTCGAAGCACGTGAAGACTGACAGTTATCCTGCCGTTCCTGGTTTCCGGTCCATGTGGTCAGGGGACCATCAGAGTCTCGACGAAGGCCCAGAGGTGCCTGGGATGGGGTGTGGTCTGTGCGGGTGGTGCCGAAGGCTGGGAATACCGCGGGGCGCGGGGCCCTGCCAGCAGGGCCGGGCGGGGGGGGCGCCCCCAGCAACTCCATCGCTGTGCCAACCTCAGGTCCAGCGGCTGGATCACTTGTCGAGAGGGGTCTGACGTCTACAACCAGGGTCTGAGTTCGTCTGTTTCTCCTTTCCTTCTGTCAGCTTCCGTCAGGATCCCGTTTCCTGAGGGCGTGTGACAGAGGGCCTGGGGCCCCGGTGCAGCCCTGAGGACCAGGCTCCAGCCCAATGATGGGTCACTTGGGACCTGAGAGGTCCTGCCCCCCCAACAGGAGGCTCTGGGCAGCCCACCCCGGTGTGAGTGGCCAGAGACAGGCCACGCAGGTGCAGAAGGCCAAGGGCAAACCCAAATTCCAAGGAATGCCCTCAGAGAGAGACGACGCAACCTGACACGCCAGGAACTACTCAAAGAAGGAAAGCCTCAGGGCTCAACGGACAGACGCAGAGCAAGCCCCAATGTAGCAGAGACGTGGGGCAGGGGAGGGGAGGCGGTCCTGCAGACCCAGGGCGCTTCACAAGAGGGGAACGAGAAAGTACACGTGCCAGGAGATTCCCCAGCACCGAGGAACATGCATCTCCAAACCAGAGTGAAGGCTGGCTAGGCGCCGTGAGGGGCTGTGGAAGGAGAGCTCCACCACCTGGGGCGCCACGGGCCTGAGCAATGAGCCTTTCCAGCAGACACGGTCTCCAGCCTGGAGCTGCACCCGCCTGCTGACCGCCAAGGATGAGGAACCCGCTCAGATACTTGTGGTACTCAACGCCCCACATGCGTCTGGAGGAGACCGAGGGACCCGGAGGACATGTTCCCCAGGAGACTTCAAGGCCAAGGGCAGCAGACACAGGCGCTGGGTGGGGCATCTTGTCCATCCCTCCAGGGCTCCAAGTCCCTGCTCCCCAGACGGCCCGCACATGCCTGACGCCTTGTTCGCCAGCCCCTGCGAGGGGAGCAGGGCCACACAGACTGCACCCTCCTGCCAGAGGCCAGCGCTCGGGGCCCCACACGTCACCTTGGAGGCCAGAACTGAGGTCACCGAGGTCTGCAAACGGGTCCAGGCTCTGAGACTTGGTCCAGCTGGCTGGGGGGCCGGGGGCGGCAGGCTGGCCTCCTGGAGAGAAGAAGGGACCTGGAGAAGGGCAGAGGGTATGAGAAGGTGCACCCCCGGGACGCTCCTGAGGCCGCACTCAGCTAGTGTGCGCGCCCACACCAGCCCAGACAAGGCCGTCCACGTCCAGCCTCCTTACGGAAGCTCATCTACCAACTCACACGGCTCTGACCCTGGAGTCCCACCTCCCAGAACCCATGTCACGTGTGAACGTGCTTTACGATGTTCCTCACAAGGGCGTAGCTGGAGAGTATTCTAAACGTGAGACGCTGAGGGTCAGAACGAGTTACCACTGTGCACCCCGGGACGGAACACCATACAGTCGTTACAAGTGTAGCTGTTGCTACATAAAGAATTCTTATAAATCAATTAAAAATACTTTGAATTCCAAAGGTGCGTGGGTGGCTTGGTTGGTTGAGCGTCTGACTCGTGGTTTTGGCTCAGGTCATGATCTCAGACCTCAGAACCGTGAGGCCCAGGGGCCTCCAGGAGGCAAAGGAGCCACGGGACACAGGACAACACAAAGGAGCGCTCTCAGGGACGCCCTTCACCACCTCCCGCCGAGCCCTCCCGGCCCACACTCCTTCTCTGGGAGTGGGGTCCCACCCGAGACGTACCTTCCGCAGCGGGCGCGGGGGCCGGCACCTCGGCCCAGGCCTCCCACGCTCCTAGCAGATCTGGGTGGCTGGTGGAGGCCGTCATCTTGCCGGGCTCTGCCGGTAGATCCCCTGGCAAGACAGCAGAGCTATCTGGGGTATCCCCTGGTGGAGGCAGGCAGCCATAAGTCCCCTCTGTGGGAGGCTGGGAGGACACCCTCTGTTCCCCCTCATGTGAGCAGAGCTGAGCACACGCACTCCCAGGGTCCCCCAGGGAGCTGCACTGGGCTCGGCCCACACCGACCGGCTTCCTTCTTCCTCAGGGGCCCAAGGACGCGTCCCGTGGTCACTGAACTAACCAACTGGACAAGAGGGTCAGCAAGCGGAGCCGCTATTCAGAGCAGCAATAAGGGTCTACACATCTTCAAAGACCTTCCACCCCGTGGCCAGCCACATGGACTTGTGGCTGCATGCTGGTGCCCCCAGAAACTGCCTTCTGCCTCCTCCAAAACCCCGCAGACTGCACGGGGTGGACAGCTGCAGGCTGCGTCACCTTGCCAGGGGAGGGGGGACCCCACAGCTGCCCTCCGTCGGCCCAGGGTCCACAGCAGGTGACTGCAGTGCTTACCCAAGTGCAGGAAGTCGGTGCTGCAGGCTGGGGGTGGGGCGCTGTGGGTGGAGGGGAAGGGTGCGGGGGCGGCGGCAGTAGATTCTGAATTAAGAAATTCACCGAAGAGGTCAGGCTTGGAGCAGGGCTGGGTGTCTGGACCAGACGGCAGCAGGAGAGGGTCAAACGGGTCGGCTGCGGAAAGACACCCAGGAAGCAGGCGGAGGTGAGGCTCTGTGCAGGCGCCTTCGGCCCAAAGCATCAGCCAGGAAGCTGAGCAAGTCCCATCAGCACCACAGCCCCTCAGACCCAGGCTGAGGCCACAGCATCGACTCCAAGAAGGTGCTGGATGCCAGGATGCCCTTGCCCGAGACTCCCCGGGGAGAGGGGAGGGTTAGCCCTTCCTGGGACGGGAGAGCCGGAGGGGCCTCAGCAGTCGCCCCGCACAGCAGCCTCGGTCTGCGGCTCGCCCGGGTCTGCAGTCTGACCAGCAGGCCCGGGGCTGCTCCCCAGTGGGTGGCTGAGGGGCCGGGCACCGACCCCACCCCGTCCGTTCCCAGAAGCCCCTCCCAGGTAATCTTGACAACAAGGCCAAACTGCTAAAGCCCTATCCTCTGTTCTCCCAACGGATGGAGCAACGTACCAGCTGCAGCTGGCCCTTCACGGGGCGGGCTCTGTGAGCTCAAGGAAGGGGCCGGGCTTGCGAAGAGCAGGGGGGCCTCGCCACCCAGCAGATCTCCGCGGGGGACCTCTGGAGCCGTGTCAGGGGCTCCCAGGAGGCGGCTGAGCAGGTCGGCGGTACTGGGGGCTGCCCCGCAGGCCTGCATGGGGGGTGCCAGCCCTGCCTCGGAGTTCAGCCCCAGGAGGTCGACACTGTCCTGCAGCGTGGGCTCCTGCGGCGTGGCCGGCGTGGCCGCGTCAAAAATCAACTCTCGCTCTTGCGCCCTCGCTGCTGGGCCTGGCGTGTCCTCGTCAGCCGTGTCCCTGCTCTCGGCTGAGAGTGTCGCCGCGTCCTCGTCGGAAGGCTCACTCCCACCTGCGTCCTCGGTTGGGGCTGACGTGCTCTCCTTGGCAAAGTGAGCTTCGGGGCCCGTCTCTGTGTCTCTCTCCTCTGAAAAGAAAAGCATAGCAGCCGGACGGCAGGGTGAGGCCTCGCCGGAGGCCGGGAAACAGCGGCGGGCAGAAGATACACAGGTGAGGGCCAGGGCGCATCCCGCCATGCCCACGGCCCCCCACGCACCGTGCCAATGCAGCGTGTGGAGGAAGCGGCTGGAGTCCGTGCAGCTGCTCTGCGGGGACTCAGACTCCGCGGGCGCGGCTTCCAGAGACCCCGCCTCAGCGTCGTACTGAGTGGTGGAGCCGGGCTGCCTGGGGAGCTCTGGCTTCCCTGCGGGGGGAAGGGCGCGTCAGGAACAGCCCGGAAGAACTCCACCGCCTGCAGCGGCCAAGGCCCTGGGCTGCGAAGCGTCCCGGGGAGTGGCCAGGCCACACAGCCGGACGCCCGGTTCCGAAGCACGGGAAACCCGCGCTGACCACCAAAGAGGGTCCGGTGTGTGAGCAGCTCCGTGTCGGCTCAGCTGCTGCCCCAAACCACGCATGCACACGCACACGCGTCTCAGGGAAGGGAACGTAAGACGCAAACCAAGGACGTGAAGACGGCCGTGTCGCAGCCAGCAAGCGAGACCTCAAGCCCTGCCCGCCGTGGGGCTGCATGTGCCCCTTTCTAACTGCTCACGAGATAACCAACCCGGAGAGGGACGGTCTGCCCCGCTGTGCCCCACGGGTCTGGGACAAAGCCTTGACTTCTTCCAGGTCCACTGCAAACAGCAAGCGACTCCAACCTGACCCCCGCAGCTGGCCCACGATGACCCCCAGGGCAGGGGCTACCCACGGTCCTGGGGCTCTGGGAGCAGCTGTGGAGGCCCGAACCCGGAAAATGCGAGCACGTCAGGCGTGGAAGCTGGTGTCGGGGAAGGTCCCAAGTGGGGGCTCCGGGCCTCCGCAAGCCGGTGCACAGCCGGACACGGGGATGGGGGCAAGCCCAGCCCCCAGGAGCTTCCCGTGGCAGCACCACCACCAGCTGTGTGTTTGGAAAACAAGGATCTCACCAAATTTAGACAGAATGTCTTGCTGCTCCTCCCGGCTGGAAAACAGGATTTTGGGGTTCAGCCCCCTCATGCTGGTGCTCTCCCAGGGTGGGGCCTCCCGGCTGGGCCTGTCTCTGGGCTCCACCTCCACCTCCAGGTTCACTTGGAATAAATCCGGGTATTTCTCCTGAATGTCACACGCATCCAGGTCATACCTGCCAGGGGAGACCAGACGCCAGTCAGGAAGGACTTTCGCGGGTCAGCCACCCCACATTAACCAAAAGTGAGCACAAAACAGTATGCGTGCTCACCGGGGCAGGCGCGCGGGCGGGGACCCTGGCCCTCACCCCTCGGGTCCCGTGATCCAGATCGGGGGGACCTTAAATGCGTGTTTCCATAAAACGACGCTGTCCACCCTGGCAAAAACCCCCAACTATTCACAAGTGCCCGTCAAACCCAGACCTCCGGAACGCCCTGCAGGAGGGGGGAGGGTGGCGGGAAGGAGAAAGACAAGGAATGCCAAGAGCAGGTGTGCAGGCGTCACCTGGGGGGCTGGCAGTGGGGGCTGTGGCTGCCAGGTCACTGAACTCGAATTCTGGGGATTCCAGCATTTCCCCCGTGTTCCCTAAGATCACCTCTGATAACATGTTCACAAACCACGCTGCTAAGCCCTGTTCTTCAGCTGGGCAGCAGGCTCCCAGCCTTCATCTTCTCTCACGCCACCTAACAGCTCTGGGCGGTTACTTACTGTTTCAAAAGGGGCAGCGGGTTCCTGAGTGACCCAAGCTGTGGGAGGAGGGGCCCACGGTCCCCTGTGACGTCCATGTGGCGCCCATAACCCAAAACGAACCACAGCCACCGGGCAGTGGGGCCGCAAACGTGGGGGCAGACTGGGTGGTCAGCCTGGGTAGGAGAAGCCCGGCAGCCTTTTAAGTCTTACTTCCAAGGACCCAACGAAATAAAATCAGCGAGCATGTGTGACCCTGATGTGGAACGTCCGCTGGTTTCAGTCCTTCCCACTCCTCCAAAAACAAAACCACTTTGCGCAAGGGGAGGAAACCCAACAGAGCAGCTGTGTGGGCAACAACAGCCCGAAGCCGAGCTCTTCTTGCTGGGGCAACGTGGGCAGGAGGGGAGCTCCTCAGGCTCTCAGGCCACCCCACACTTCCCTCCTCTCTAGGTCGGGCACCCACAACGAGGAGCTGACGCAGGTCACCACACCGCCAGGCAGGAGTGGCTCCCGTGGGAACCGCGGTGGTGAGCCCCGAGGCAGCAAGGTCAGTCAAGGGGGAGGCCAGCAGCCAGCAAGGACCAGAGGAGGCCTAGACCCCCATCCACAAGGAAGGAGTGAGGCAGGGGTCCACACAAAGGAGCACATGACCTCTGCAGGCTCAGCTCCGGGGGCCACAGGGCCTTGGGGGTAGCTCTGGGCACCACACTGGTGGCCACCCATCCCCACCTCCCCACCCTGGCTGGTCCCCAAAGATGGCCTCCGGGGCCGGGCCTGCCCAGCTCACCAGCAGGTCAGTGAGGGAACAATGAGGGTCTGTGAGCAGGGCCACAGCCCCCATGACCCCACCCTGCACTTCAGGAGGGCGGAAGGCCCAGGCCTCCCCGGGTGGCACCAGGGGCCAACGTGCTTGGCTCAGACACAGAAATGCTGCCTCGTGTCACGGATTGCAATTCTGCCCACTTAAAACACACTGGGGACCCTCCCTCGTGATAGAAGGTCTCATCGAGGATGGACCTGCTAACACTGCTCCAAGTTCTTTTCTCAAGCTGTCCTGTTTCAGCCGCCTCTGCAAAATGGGTCCTGCCCACCAGAGACACACGCTCGTCTGCATCGATCAGGCGGCTCCACAGCTTTCTCCCGATTTAATCACGTGATCCGCTTCTGGAAGCACTGCACACACTGATGCACGGGCCCAAGAACACAGCTCGGTCAGGTTCTGCGCCGGCACACTGGGACGTTCAGGCAAAAATGCCCCCTCTTTCCAGCCCCCACGGAAGTCCCTAAGTCAGAAGTAACGACTCCCTGGTCCTCCGGCACCCAGAGGGTCGGAAGTGAGTCCTCCCAGGACTGCGGGGGTGGGTCCCAATATTCCCTTGATTGTCTGGGTAGGATGGGGCACAGGGTCCTGGGCATGCACGCGGCGTCTCCAGAGCCCCTCCACGGCTCTCCTCTCACCCCTGGAACAACACTTCTGCTCGGGTGGCTGGTGTGCACGCATGGGAGACAAAGCGGAAAAGACACCCCCTGGGGGGCGTAGTCAGTCAAGCGTCTGACTCTTGGTGTCGGCTCAGGTCATGATCTCAGCGCGGGGAGATCGAGCCCCGCATTGGCTCGCGCTGGGTGGGGAGTCTGCTTGGGATTCTCTCTCCCGCTCGCGCGTGCTCTCTCTCTCTCTATCCCCAATGCCCGCTGTGCAGACTTGTCCCGCTCCCTGGGCACCTCCGCCGCAAACAGAAGGTCTGCACACACACCAGGGACTGGGGGCCAAGTGTGCTGTGCGAGGCCCTCACGCGTTACTCTAACGAGGTGGTGAATCTGGGAATGCAAGAACCTGAAGAGCCCTGGGTAAGTCAAGGGGGTTATCCCCGACTGTACGTATTTCTGCTTTTATCTCTAACGCCAGATGGTGAACTTCTCTTAACTACCTCCGACCTCAGTGCCTAGCAGAGCACTCTGCACATCCCAAGTACTCTACATGTTAAAAAAGCAATAAACAGGGCGCCTGGGTGGCTCAGTCGTTAGGCGTCTGCCTTCGGCTCAGGTCATGATCCCAGGGTCCTGGGATGGAGCCCCGCATCGGGCTCCCTGCTCAGCGGGGAGCCTGCTTCTCCCTCT